GGACATGATCTATGACGTCTAACGATATAGTACTAAAACCAGAGTTGTTGTTTAATATAAATAGCTAGAAATTAAATAACAAGTCACAAGACGATTATGAATTTACTTATCATTTCAAATAACTTTATGTCGAGCAACATGGCACTTGTGAGGATGGGGGCAAATCTTTTTTTTTAGGGTTAATATAAAAAAAATCAAAAATCAATATATTCGTGACAAATTTACTACAAATTAATGTTTTGACCATCAAAAATCTCAAATTGATATACATGTGATAAATTTACCCTCCATTAGTTTCCGTTAAATTTTATCGTCAAATTGCTGAGTTGAATGACACGTAACAGTTGACGGATGTACCAATTTAGATTTTACCCCTCTATTTGTCACAGATTTATCAATTTATGATTTTTCATGATATTAATCCAATTTAACGGAGGGTAAATTTGTCACAAGGATACCATTTTGCGGTTTTTGGTAGTCAAAACATTAATTTTAGGTAAATTTGTCATATGTGTACCAGCTTAGGGTTTTTCGTGATCAAAAAATTAGTTTGGGTAAATTTATCGCAAATGTACCAGTTTGAGATTTTTCATAGTATTAACTCTTTGTTTTAAGGGAAACGAATTTTACTGGAAAATACTTTCAGATAACATATTTTCAAGAAAAATGATTTGATGTGTTTGCTTGCTTTTGGCTAATAAGATGGAAGTCACTCTTTTTATATTTGTTATAGGAAAGCAATGACACATGCATTTGACAAAAAGTCTCTACTACGACCCAAGAACTTGAGTTCAGGCGCAAGGTCTTGGGTCTGGCCATCGAGGGACCAAGGTCTGAGTGTCGAGGATTCGAGCTTGGTCGACAGCCTCCAAGTCCGGCACTGGGAACCTCGGGTCCCATTGCCAAGCACTTGGGACCAGTCATTAGGGACGGTCTTGCCGGTGACGGAGGAAAAGTCGTACTTTGAAAAGTTATTTTTTATTTTTAATAATAAAATTATTTTTCTAAATTGAGTTAATATCACGAAAAATCTCAAACTTGTACCCTTTTAAATTTAAGAAGATGGTTCTATTGATTGAAATGATTTTTCATGGACTCGCATTTTTAAATCATCATGATGTCAAAAAAATAAAGCAAATATTGTTTCATAGTGAATTTTTTTATGAAACAAATCAACAAAGCAACATTTATTATGTGTCGACCGGCCCATCCATAAATATACCGAACCTCTCGTACCATCTCCATAACCACTGCCATCTCTTCTTTCCATACCCAAACAAAGAAAACACTCGAAACACCCAGAAGAAGAAGATGGGTTCGACAGAGTTGACCCAGAAGCCACACGCAGTGTGCATCCCCTACCCAGCCCAGGGCCACATCAGCCCCATGCTCAACCTCGCCAAGCTCCTCCACCACCGGGGCTTCCACGTCACCTTCGTCAACACCGAGTACAACCACAACCGCCTCCTGCGGTCCCGCGGCCCGGCCTCCCTGGACGGCCTCCCGTCTTTCCAGTTCCGCGCCATCCCGGACGGCCTCCCGCCCTCCAACGGCGACGCCACCCAGGACATCCCGGCCCTCTGCCAGTCCACGCAGAAGTTGTGCTTGCCTTACTTCCAGGACCTGCTCGAGAGGCTCAACGAGGAGAGCGCGACGTCAGGTTTCCCGCCGGTGAGCTGCGTGGTGTCGGACGGCGGGATGAGCTTCACGCTCGACGCCGCCAAGGCAGTCGGCGTGCCGGAGGTCCTGTTCTGGACGATAAGCGCGTGCGCGTTCATGGGCTTCGCGCAGTATCGCAGTCTTATTGACAAGGGTCTTACTCCACTCAAAGGTACGCATTAATCAATAATTGTCTGATTTAGGTGACCTCACTTAGCATGTCAATCGATCAAAATTTTTTACGACTAAAAATTTTTCCTTGTTTTTTTTTCGGTTTGCTTTGCTTTTATATTCTTCAGTTTTGTTTGTTCCTGATTTATATGATTAGCGAGTAGCCAACTATGTCATAGTTTTCTCCTTAGTTAAGTACTTAATTAAGTCGACTGCCAAAAGTAGAATTTAAAGATGTAAGAACCTTGCTCTGTAGCTTACGTATTGTTTACGACTCAATCATTTCCTATAACCTTCGACAATCTTCTCCTAAATATTTTCTCCTCGTGTTTTCCCTAATCTAAGTCTAACAAATGCATTGACAACACAAACTTTGCCACGTGACACCATAAACATCGAACGACTTAGTAGGAACGAACTCTTTTTTTTTTAAGCGGATCCTTAATGAGAACCGTGGCCATGTATGGTCACACGGTTTAATTGATCGACTCTCAATTTGTAGATGCAAGCTACTTGACAAACGGGTACTTAGACACCATTGTCGACTGGATACCTGGGATGAGAAACATCCGCCTGAGAGACTTACCAAGCTTCATCCGAACCACTGACCCGGACGACCTGATGGTCGACTTCTGCTTGGTCGAAAACGAGAGAGCGAAGAGAGCCTCAGCCATTGTTTTGAACACGTTCGACCGATTAGAGCACGAGGTCCTCGACGCTCTCAAGGCCATGTTCCCCCCCATCTACACCCTTGGTCCCCTTCATCTCCTTACGGAACAACTACCCAATAACGACACCAGGTCGATCACGTGCAACCTGTGGAAGGAAGAGCTGGGCTGTCTCGAGTGGCTCGACTCGAAACCGCCCGGTTCGGTCGTGTACGTGAACTTCGGGAGCATCACAGTGATGTCTCCGGCACAGCTGGTGGAGTTCGCATGGGGGCTTGCGAACAGCGGCCAGACGTTCCTGTGGGTCATCAGGCCCGACTTGGTTGTTGGCGACACGGCGATCTTGCCACAGGAGTTCTCGGCCACGACGAGGGAGCGTAGCCTGCTGGCGAGCTGGTGCCCCCAGGAGCGGGTGCTGAGCCACCCCGCGGTCGGTGGGTTCCTGACCCACAGCGGCTGGAACTCGACAATCGAGAGCATCGCGGCCGGCGTGCCAATGGCGTGCTGGCCATTCTTTGCGGACCAGCAGACGAACTGCCGGTACAGCTGCGAGGGGTGGGGCATCGGGATGGAGATCGACGGCGACGTGAAGAGGGACGAGGTGGAGAGGCAGGTGAGGGAGCTGATGGAGGGGGAGAGAGGGAAGGAGATGAATAGGAAGGCGACGGAGTGGAAGGAGATGGCGCGAGAGGCCACGCGTCCTTCCGGGTCGTCGTTCTCGAACTTGGACGAGGTAATCAACAAGGTGTTGCTGTTGCCGAGAAGAGATTAAGCTTGTTGTTAGGATATCTGTTTGCGATCGGGGAACGTGTCCGAACGACAGTCCTCTTGTCTGTCTACATACTTATCTAAGGCCCGTACCAACTTCAGTCTCATCACTTTCTGTTCAGTTGGCATGCATGTAGTACGGTTGGATATTTTTCTTTGATTGTATTCTCCCTACTTTCACCTCTATACATTCGCGTTGATTTCTTCATGAAGCGGCGCTAACACGACGAAGCAAATGTGGCCGGTGATAGCATTGGACCAAACTCTGGCAACATTTCTTGGTAACAAAAATAACGAGATAATTATTAAAAATAATCCTAAATTTATTGCATTTGAGCCAATTCAGTTTTTCAATCTTTTAATTTTTGGCAAATTTATTCCTAAATCTTTTGACATTACGAATAAAATTTATCTAGCTGATTTTGACTAGAACTTGCTGGCAAATCACCACCCTCAGGTCGATTTGAGTTCATTTTGATTACCATGGTCCTCATTCAGCTCCAAAGATTGTCCTACTAGAACCCTACATTTTCTTTCTTTTTTCGTATTTCATCCTTATAAACCAAATGCGACTTCTGGGACACTTCGAATTTGGGATTCTTGATTATTCAAAAAGCTCATAGTCTCTCTATTATCAAATAGTTGCATCTAGCCGGCAAAGCTACGGAGTTTCTAATAGCATAAAAAATTAGATAACTGGGATTTAAAGACTCGATATCCCACGGTCCGATCATCGGATATCGAAAAATTCAGTACCGGTGTAGAGCGCTCAAACAAATCCTATCCAGTTACGGTGTCTGATCGAATCATTCAGGTAACTTGTAAAGTCATATATTGCTAACACGACGTGGTTCATCTAATCAACTTCATACATCTATCTTTCCTCAGATATGCATTGGAAATGACGACAGGATAGCTGAATGACATCACTTTCACCCCCCACACACCATAATCGTCGAAGAGAAATTCTGGATATGATTTTATTCAATGCTAGAAAATCCAAGTCAAGAGGCTTTATAGGTGGAGCGAGAGTCCATCTACATTAAACACCATTTAGATCTCTGCAATGTGGGACACTTCATGTTCAGCTTCCCCGAGTGCATTTATGGGCTTAAAGGGATTCGTCTAGAAACAATCTTTAATGCACACATCAGAGTCGACCTCAACTTTCCCTGAATTTTGTCTCCAAAAAAGGGTTAGCACAAAAGATTTAGATTACAGTCCGATCCATACAAGAGAAAACTCTGCTAAATTGATCTGTATGAAGTTAATTTCGCTTAAGAGCTCGATATATTTTCAGTATGACAATGCAATAATCCATAATTCGTAGGACTAATCCAAGATGTCACCCTACGTAAAAGGATACATCAGGGAGACGATCCGATTTCAACTTGCTAAGAGGAGTCGATATTATTTAAGTATCTAAGACGCAGACGAACATGAACGGTGCTACAGATCCACCCAACACCTCGACCCCAATGTCGAACAAATTGGGTGGAAAAGGCCCGTGGCCGGGGCCGAACGACTTGATGTAGTCCTTGAGCGACCTCTTGTGCTTGAAGTCGGAGCTGCAGATGCAGAGCCAGCGCTTTCCTCAGTTCTTCTCGTGGGTTCTCCAGTCCCCCTTGACGGCAAGGGGCTTGCCGCACTTGCAGCACGCCCTTCGTGCTTCCGCTTGTAGTGTGTCTGGAGGGTCCGGAAGTCCTTGAGCGGCTTGGCCCTCGGGTGATCGATGTGGTTCCGGCACCCCTCGGCACAGCAGTAGCACGGTATCCCCAGCATGGCCCGCGGCTGCGTGCCATTTAGAGAATCCGGCCCTCTGCGGTAACGTGAACCGTGGCCCCACATGTGCATCTGCAACACGAATTCATGCGGAGAAGTAACATGTGACCTTGGTAAGTTGGTATGATTGTTATGTTTGAGGGAGTTTCATTTTCTGCATCATTTTAACTAGAAATAAATATATAGTTATATCATGATTAATAGGCTTGGCCAGGCGGTAGATGATTTAATTCGTGTCATAAGAGAGCCCTAACACTTCATTGAAGATGACTTGCAGTAAACTAGTTTTCATGCATAAGCTAGGAGAAGGACACACGACAACTCATTGAATGGGGTTGAGTTCTAGCATCATGTCGAGGAAAAAGGTGCGGCGCATTGAGTCTGTCGACCAGTTCGCCAACACTCGATCTCAAACACACACATCGCGATTAGTTTTCATCATAGATGCATATTACTACATGATGTTTAGCTAGCCAATGGTCCAAAAATATATCCACCAATCGGTTCTCAATTTCTTCTCACCTGAAGATTGTTGTAGCGGTTGAACGTTTTGAAGCAAACATGGCATGAAAAATGGGTAAATCCAATGAGAAATTGTTCCGGAGTAGGGATCCAATATCTTTCCACACCCGCACTTTGGCTTGTGATTTCTGAGGAAGAACCCACCGATCCGCCTGAATAATTAGGGAGGCCAATTTGGAGCGCCACGGTGACGTCATCCCCAACTTGTCTGCACGGACAAGCATTAGGGTTAGTGTCTTTAGGGTTTTCATGAAAGCCGTGGCCAAGCAGCTCAGCAAAGGCTGTGGCTCGATGGGAATTCCCTGGTCATTGTTCGGAGAAACATCGACATTTTCCGACTCTTAACCTCATTGCAAATACTGGAGGAGGCCATGAAAGCAGAGCTGCATGAACTATGTTAGAAATTAAACCAAATTTGTTAGTACTTGTTTCCTTTTTGAGTCTGTTCGTATTTTCATATTTTGATAGATATTGTGAGATATTGTTTCTAGTTATATTTTAGGAAAGTTTCCTAAGTCAATTAGATTTCCTAATTAGAATAGGTTTCCTAGAAAGAGGTTTCCTATTTCGAATCAAACTATGGTCTATATATAGTCTATTTCTCTTGTAATTGAGACATGCAATAGAAAGACGCGAATTGCGATTGTTTCACCTTCAAAAATTCCTTTCATCAAATCAATATTGTTGCTGCGCCTCTGACGCTCAACAAATTGGTATCAGAGCTTACGGTTCGTGATCATGGCCTCAACGAACAATCAGCTTCTTCTTCAATACCGTCGTCTTACCAAAGAAAATTATGGTAACTGGGCTGTTAGAATGAAAGCTCTACTCGGCGCCTACGGTATGTGGGAATTTGTTAACACTGGCTATGATGAGCCAGAGGATGAAGCCACGTTGAACTAGAATCAGAGGAATGCCTTGGAGAAGGCTCGAACGAAAGATCAATATGCCCTGTCGATCATCTATCAAGCGTTAGATGATTCCATGTTCGAAAAAGTTTCGAACGCCACTACCGCTAAAGAGGCATGGGAGATTCTTCAAAACACACATCAAGGAGTTCAGAAAGTTCAGAAGATTCGCCTTCAAACCTTGAGAGGCGAATTCGAGGTAATTCGTATGAAAGAATCTGAATCGATTGCTGATTATTTCACGAGAATTTTGGTAATTGTTAATCAGATGAAAAGAAACGGAGAAGAAGTTTCCGATGTTCGTGTTGTTGAGAAAATACTTCGATCCTTAGACAAGAAGTATGATTATATTGCGGTTGCAATCGAAGAATCCAAAGACTTGGATGCCATGACGGTCGATGAACTTATGGGTTCATTACAAGCCCATGAAGAAAGGTTTAGAAAGAAAAAGATTGAACCGGTGGAGGAAGTTCTCCAAACACAGTTGACCATACGAGATGAAAAGGAGCAAAGAAGAGATCCCGTACAAAATCGCGGGACAAATCAAGATCGTGATCGAGGTCGTGGCCGAGGTCACTTTCGAGGAAGAGGTCGCGGACGAAGCAGAGGAGATCCTGCTCGAAGTGATGGAGGATACCAGTACCAAAGAGGTGTTCGTGGAAGAGGAAAGAACTCGACAAGCCAATGGTATGATAAATCTAAAATCCGATGTTATCATTGCAATAAACTTTGCCATTATGCTTCTAACTGCTGGAATAAAGAAAGTAGCAAACCAGATGAAAAGGCGAACTTGGTAAATAATGATGATCAAGTTCTCTTATTGGCATTCAAAGAAGATGAAGAAGGTCAAAGCGATACGTGGTATTTGGATACCGGCGCAAGTAATCACATGTGTGGGAGAAATGAGATGTTTGCCGAGTTAGATGAGACAATTAAAGGGAATGTCTCATTCGGTGATAACTCTAAAATTCTTGTTGAAGGGAAAGGTACAATTTTGATTCGCGTAAAGAATGGTGCACGTCAGTTTATTACTAATGTTTATTATGTTCCAAAAATGTCAAGCAATATCTTGAGTTTGGGACAACTTCTGGAGAAAGGTTATACTGTTCATATGAGAGATCTTAATCTTATGTTGAGAGATCGGAATAATAAATTGATTGCAAAGGTGAAGATGTCGAAAAATAGGATGTTTATTCTTAATATAAAGAGTGAGGTGTCTCGATGTCTAAAGACGTGCGTAGATGATCCTTCATGGTTGTGGCATTTGAGGTTTGGCCATCTCAATTTTGGTGGACTCAATTTGCTTTCTCGCAAGAAGATGGTTTATGGCTTATCACATATTGATCATCCCGATCAATTATGTGAAGGGTGTGTTATCAGCAAGCATTCCAGAACTAGCTTTCCGAAGGAGGCGACTTATCGAGCGAAGAAGCCGCTTGAGTTGATTCATTCTGATTTGTGTGGCCCGATCAATCCTCACTCATATGGTAATCATCGATATTTTGTTACTTTTATTAATGATTTTACTCGGAAAACTTGGGTGTATTTTTTGAAAGAAAAGACAGAAGTGTTTGATATTTTCAAACAATTCAAGAACCTGGCTGAAAAGGAAAGCGGCTATTTTATCAAGGCTTTGAGGACTGATCGTGGTGGAGAATTCACCTCAGCCATATTCAACAAATTCTGTAAAAATCATGGTATTCGACGTTTCTTGACGGCCCCGTATTCTCCTCAACAAAACGGTGTGGCTGAACGGAAAAATAGAACCATTCTTGATATGGTTCGAAGCATGTTGAAGAGCAAAAATTTGTCCAAGGAACTTTGGGCAGAAGCTGTTTCGTGTGCTGTCTATCTTCAAAATAGATGTCCAACATATGGACTTGAAGGCGTAACTCCACAAGAGGCATGGACCGGGAGAACACCAAGTGTTTCGCACTTGAGAATTTTTGGGAGCATTGCATATGCTCATGTCCCGGATAAAAAAAGATCGAAACTTGAAGACAAGAGCAAAAAGCTCATCTTTATCGGGTATGACTCATCGTCTAAAGCCTATCGATTATTTGACCCTAACACTTTGAAAGTGTATGTAAGTAGAGATGTCAAGTTCGATGAAGATGGAATATGGGAAGAAAATCTAAAAGAAGAAGCGAATGTTCGTGATGATTCCGATCAAACGGAGTTGAAAGATCAACCTTCACCTTCTTCTCCAACATCTTATTCAAGTTCATCAACACCATCCTCTTCAAATAGTGTCGATGAACCGCTAGTGCCAAGATCAAGAAGATTGTCTGAAATTTACGAAGCTACCGAAGAGCTTCATCTTATATGTCTTCTTGCAGATTATGAACCACTTGCTTATGATGATGCGGCCAAAGAAGAAAAGTGGAGGAAAGCCATGAACGAAGAAATTGAAGCCATCGAGAAAAATCAAACATGGAAGCTTGCTAATCTTCCGAAGGACAAGAAATCAATTGGTGTTAAATGGGTGTACAAGGCCAAGAAGAATGAGAAAGGTGAAGTAACAAGATACAAAGCTAGATTAGTCGCGAAGGGGTACAAGCAAAAAGCCGGAATCGACTATGATGAAGTTTTTGCCCTTGTCATCCGCATGGAAACGATTAGATTGATTATTTCCATTGCTGCTCAAAATAATTGGTGGATTTATCAAATGGATGTCAAATCAGCATTCTTGAATGGCATCCTTGAAGAAGAAATTTATGTCGAACAACCCGAGGGGTTTGTTGTGAAAGGTTATGAAGACAAAGTGCTAAGGTTGAAGAAAGCTCTATATGGGCTTAAACAGGCACCGAGAGCATGGAATTCCAGAATTGATGCATATTTCAAGGCAAATGGATTCTCTCAATATCCATACGAGCATGCACTCTATTTGAAGCAAGAAAAATGTGATATTCTACTCGCCTGTTTATATGTTAATGATCTTGTTTTTACAGGAAATAATTCAGCGATGATTGATGCTTTTAAGGCATCGATGATGAAAGAATTTGAGATGACCGATAATGGTCTCATGAATTATTTCCTTGGTATCGAAGTGAAGCAAAGTGCCGATGGGATTTTTATTTCCCAAAAAAGATATGCAGAAAATATCCTTGAAAAATTCAACATGAAGAACTGTATGCCGGTCAATACACCAATGGAGTGTGGAACCAAGCTTTTGAAGTTTGATGATGGTGCCGATGTTGATTCGACATATTATAGAAGCTTGATTGGAAGTTTGAGATACTTGACATGCACGAGACCGGATATTATGTATAGTGTTGGAATTGTTAGTCGATACATGGAGAAGCCGAAATCATCTCATCTTAAAGCTGCAAAGAGAATACTTCGGTACATCAAAGGTACTATTTCTCATGGTTTACACTATTATTGCTCTGAATCTTTCAAACTTAGAGCTTATTCGGATAGTGATTATGGTGGAGATATCGATGATCGAAAAAGCACCACGGGATTTGTATTTTTCTTGTGCGACACTGCTTTCACGTGGTCATCAAAGAAGCAATCAAGTGTTACTCTGTCGACATGTGAAGCTGAATATGTAGCTGCATCTTCATGTGTTTGTCATGCAATATGGTTGAGAAGACTACTCAAAGATATTCTTATGGAGCAGAAGAAAGCAACGGAGATTTTTGTTGATAATGTTTCTGCTATTGCTTTGGCGAAAAATCAAGTTTTTCATGAACGAAGTAAACATATCGATGTTCGATATCACTTCATCCGAGAACAGGTTAAAGAGAATGAAGTTGAAGTATTGCATGTGAAGACCGGAGATCAAGTAGCAGATATTTTTACTAAACCTCTCAAGATCGACGCTTTTCGAAAGTTCAAGAGCCTGCTTAGAATGATCGATGGAAGAGAATTTGGTTTAGGGGGGAGTGTTAGAAATTAAACCAAATTTGTTAGTACTTGTTTCCTTTTTGAGTCTGTTCGTATTTTCATATTTTGATAGATATTGTGAGATATTGTTTCTAGTTATATTTTAGGAAAGTTTCCTAAGTCAATTAGATTTCCTAATTAGAATAGGTTTCCTAGAAAGAGGTTTCCTATTTCGAATCAAACTATGGTCTATATATAGTCTATTTCTCTTGTAATTGAGACATGCAATAGAAAGACGCGAATTGCGATTGTTTCACCTTCAAAAATTCCTTTCATCAAATCAATATTGTTGCCGCGCCTCTGACGCTCAACAAACTATAATCTGAAAGCTCCTCCATCATGCAACAATACACACAAAAGGACCCAAAAGAAAAAGGGATGAAATTCCTGGACTGTGATATCGTTAAGAGGATAATTTCTTGAATGCGGAATGATGGCTCTAGTGTCGATTTACGTAGAGATTGAAGAATATAAATAGGCAGATCAGAGTAATCTGAGAGAGAACAAGAGAGAAACCGAGGTCGGGTGGCTGAAGAATAATTTGGCGTTGAA